ATATCAATGTTTTTGGGGACAAGCACTATCGGAAGAACGATATCAATGTTGTTGCGACTAACACTATTCATTAATGATATCGATGTTTTTGTGACTAGTGCTATTCAAGAATGATATCAATGTTGTTGGGACAAGCACTATGGAAGAACGATATCAATGTTGTTGCGACTAACACTATTCATTAATGATATCGATGTTTTTGTGACTAGTGCTATTCAAGAATGATATCAATGTTGTTGGGACAAGCACTATGGAAGAACGATATCAATGTTGTTGCGACTAACACTATTCAATAATGATATCGATGTTTTTGTGACTAGTGCTATTCAAGAATGATATCAATGTTGTTGGGACTAGCACTATGGAAGAACGATATCAATGTTGTTGCGACTAACACTATTCAATAATGATATCGATGTTTTTGTGACTAGTGCTATTCAAGAATGATATCAATGTTGTTGGGACAAGCACTATGGAAGAACGATATCAATGTTGTTGCGATTAGCACTATTGAAAAATAATATCAATGTTGTTACGACTAGCACTAGTCAAAAACTATATCAATGTTGTTGCGACTAGTACTATTTAAGAATGATATCAATTTTGTTATGACTAACACTATTGAAGAATGATATCAGTTTTGTTGCGACTGGCACTATTCAAGAATGATATCAATGTCGCTACGACTAGCACTAAAGACTTTATATACTAGTTAGTTCGACCACACAGTAGGTTGGTGAAATGAAACAAACATCTGAACTAGAAGTGCAAATAAGCAAGTATTAGCTAACGGAAAGCATAATGTATTTTTCATATAACTTTTATTAACTTAAACGCTGATAATAAAAAATGAAGTTCAAACTACTGATGGCTTATCTTTGTTATCTTCATATATTATTTTTGAAATAAAATTGTAAGGTATGGTTGATAACTTTTTAAACCAGAGTCAATAGGCCATGGATATTAAAAATAGGTACAGATAGATATAGTAACATCTTATTTTAGGTGTATTAATAATTTTTAAGTACCATTTTAGCACTTCTACGAATTAAATAAATCATAGCTGTGGATTTTCTAGTTTCCACAAAATGATGGTGTGGTTTATTTGAAAAAGGAGTGTAATTAGTTTATCATCCCTTGCTTCGTTTGTCATACTTGATATATATGCATTAGTGTATTATAACCCAAAACCCTTGCTTACCGTAACGAACATTGTTTTCACGTACCAATAATTTCCCCTTTCGTGTAAGTAAATCTCTAAAAGGTTATATTGTTTTCTAAGCGACAGAAGGCTTTACTCGCTCGAAAAGAAACTGGTAGGAGAAATTATTATATATTTGTTCATACCCAATTACATATATATATATATACTTGTCCAGTAATAATCGTTATTACACCACTTGCAGTGAAGTCGTAGAAGTAAAAGAAATAAAATAAATTTTCGGTGCATGTGATAACGACGCATATCGCTTTCTTTCAGGATCTCAGGCGTCAATGCCAAAATTTTGCCACAGCGTTGCTGGATCATACCCGCAGTTCGTATGAATTAGAGGTTATGTTGAACTACGTCCCTAGCGGCCCAGCTTTTCACCATGGTGATCGCATGCATTTGAGTCGTCTAAAACTGGCAATTCGATATAAACAGAAAAAGGCAAGTTGATTATATAGTAGGATAGAAAGCTCTTTATGGTTTGATAGTTTTCTGTTATATGACTTATTAATGATGCAATATCTATAAAAAAAACTGTAAGTAGTGAATTTTTTTCAAGAAGGGTCCAGTTCTGACAATTTAGAGTGTGTGGAATTCATTCTAATTTGTAATGAGAGTTTATCAAGTAAGAAGTTAATAGAATTTTTCAGATTCGTTAGAAAAAAACGCAACAACCAGTGAGGTTTTGGATTACAAAACATAATTTTTATTTGGATCACCTATATTTATAAAATAAATTTATAAATATAAATAACCCAAATCCAGTGTTGCACGACGTTGTAGCCGGACACTAACAATGTAAACGTTTACATACTTTTTTTTTCTAATTACTTAATTACAAATAAAATCTACAAATAAAAACTTGGAACTTCACTCACTGATGCATACTTTAAAAATAAAGATATGTGATATCTTACATGTATTGATATCAACTTATGCACAGAACTAGACCTACTAAGATCAAATATAATAATAAACTCGGTAAGAAGAATACCTATTTGAATATACAGCCTTCACATTCTTACTTTTAACGATTAAAATGCATTGTTTCGTCAGTTGGGTACCCTCATTGTTGGGTTAAAACTTAAATAATATTTCACGAGGTTCGACCAGCTAAGGAAATGTAGATTAGTCCTAAATCTACTTATTAAGCTAACAATGCAAATTAATCTCTATATTCTTTCACACAGAAGTTCTTATAATAAAAATATAATAAATCAAACGTTCTAACCTATGCTGTTAATGAAAATAACATTAAAGAAACTGTAAGGTATTTACGGTAACACAATCTCTAGTTGTTAGCTTCATAGGGTATTTACGGAACACAATCTCTAGTTGTTAGCTTCATAGGGTATTTACGGAACACAATCTCTAGTTGTTAACTTCATAGGGTATTTACGTAACACAATCTCTAGTTGTTAGCTTCATAGGGTATTTACGGAACACAATCTCTACCTGTTAGCCTCAAGTAACGTCGTAGATTTATTTCATTTGAAGCCGATTCCTTTCATTTTAAACCGTACACAATACATTTCAGTTCATCATAACATTTTCTTTTAAAGTTTTACAAAACCGCATTTATGATCGAAATAAAATTAGCAAATAACTGTAACTTATCCTTTTTTATTCTTTATTGTAACTTTATATCGCCAGCGTGATAATTCACTTCTAAGACAACCCTATATTTGACCTTACAGTTCTGTGCCCATCCGAACGTTCAACAGCTCCTAGCGTCCATCTGGTACGAAGGTTTGCCTGGTTTTCGGCGAAAGAACGTTGTCCTCCAGTGTTTAGAAATCTTCCGGATCGGGGCTCTCTTTCCGTTATATTCCACCGCTTACATTCTTGCTCCGTATTCTCGCTTCGGCCGGACCATCCGTCGGCCTTTTATCAAATTCATCTGTCATTCTGCTTCCTACGTCACATTCCTATGTAAGTGTACATAATAAATGCTTGTGTTTTTTCGCAGCATTTAGTGTGGGATATACATACCTATATAACATACAAAAAAATCCGTCACTTGAATATTTTTCGATTTGTATCCTCCACCAGGTTCTGTATCTGTCAACGGTGAATTTGCAAACTTACAACGCTAAGATCCTGGGTTCGATTTCTCGCGGTGCACATAACGCAGATAGCCCATTGTGTAGCTTTGCGATAAAACAACAACAACTAAACAATATCAGTTTAAGAACAACAATGCAGCTCACTCATGACGTTCAATATATTTTATTGAAATCGCAGTTTCTACAACTGTCGTGGTCGTTAGAAGATACAAAGAACATAGCAGTTTATAAGCAAAAGGAAAATATAACACCAGATGGCTCTATTATTTAGTCAAGTTATGGGTTTTCTTGTATATTGTGTTACTGTAAATATCTGAAAACTGTTATTTTTACTTTGGCTATTCAAATATTTAACCGAATTCGTTTATTTGCTAAATTAAATTTGCATACTAAAACCTGATAAATGTACAAACGTCAATATTGTATGTTTCATATCATTGTCTTTTCAACAATCCGTCAAATTTTTAAAAGTTTTTGTACGATTGCATTTGGCCTTCAGAGAATCAATAAGGCTAAAAATTAACTGATACTGTAAAAAACTAATGAAAAATCTTGTGCTATAAAGCTGGTTAATACGCATCAAATAGTAACGCAAACCAATGTTCAGAGCTGGACATGTACACCAGTAGTTAGGGTGCCGGACTATGGAGGTGAAGATCTAAGGCTCAAGTTTCAATACGTCTCTGAATATTCATCGTATTTTCGGTTTAGATGCATTATAATTGTGACATTCGAGCCTGCTATTCGGTTAAGAATAGTCACATAAATGGTGAATGGCTGCTCCTTCTCTGATCAACAGTTCTAAATTAGAGATACCTGTGCTCGAACTTCAGGGGTTTCTGATCATTGTTTATCTCATGTCTCGCATAAAAGGATGTTTAGCTTGAAAACATAAATACCAACAAACAGTGGACAACAAACTGGTAATCCTAGGATATAGAGAAATATTGCGTATAACATGTACGACTTCTAAAACGAAATTAAAACGAAAATTACAAAAACGTATTCATTTTTAACTAAGTATTATTTTACTTAAAATATTATATTACTAAAATAAAATATGATTTTGAAGGCATCAAGTGTAGCTTAAAAATTATAAAGCTGCAAATATAAATTGGCGTTTAAAACTTAAGATTATTACCAAAATAAGTGTAAAAATATGAAAATATTTTTAATGATGAACTTTGACCTTTCAGAAGTTCTATAATGTGAACATTCAGAATAAGTTGAATAATAGTGAAAGTTGGATATTACATCGGAAAAGATTTATCGAGCATATTTTTAATAATTGATATATTACGAAAACAATGAACAATGAAATGTTGAATATTGTGAATTGACATCTATTTGAGCAGAACTGTAGTCAACTAATGAGTTGATTCTATTATACTGAGCAAATATTCCATTGATCGTTTCGTTTTCATTATTGGATTTTAATATAATTTAAGCAATCAATTACCTCTCGCTCAATCCCATCAAGAAAAATCCTTTTTTTGTTAAGTGACAGTTGGCTTGTATATCAGCTGCAGACTCCCAATCAAACACAATATTTGCACATACTAATAAGTATAGGTGTGTTATGTTGTTTTTAAACTTGTTTACTTATTTTCATCTTAAAGTAAAGAGTCAGTAAAGAGTCAACCGTTGTTAGTAAATCCACTTATAGCATTTCTATATACATGGCCGTCTTTTATGAAGTAACATGGAACTTTATAGATCTTAATGTAATTTATTCCAGTAATGAATCACGACAACAGCTGGACGTCACAAATGTTTCATTGGGGTACTTCAAAGAGAAAAATAATGAGAGTTTTGGAGAGATTCCAGTGCAGCACAGATAGAAACAGAAAGATAGATGGATTTGCATATTATAAATACCTTTGATGGAAATAAAATAGTGTGTTTGAGTCCTTAATTGTTGTACGGCTTACGATTGACTTTGCTATTGAAGCAATTAAATTGAAAGTGCTTACTTCTAAATATCTGTTTTGTGTATTTTTTTCTAGTTCTACTTATTCTTGCATCTCAACGTGTAGATAGTGTGCTGATTGGTTGGTTTGAAACGAAGGAAATGAATGATATGGTGACAAAACGAGGGGCTCCTCCCTCTATTATTGAATGGATGATCTTAGCTTGGGTAGCAGGTAAGTTATCAAGTTAATATTTTTATAATTGTGTTTTATGTATTTTCATAGCACTAAGACATTGAGCACGTTGTAAATTATAAGTAATGTTTCTAACTATATGTTTTTATCAGATCAGAGAATTACAAATGAAATAACACATCGTAAACTTGATTATCAGAATCACGGTTATTTCATAAGTTTCATTTTTATCAATATATTTAATAAGATAAACGTTTTATTAATTAATACAACAGAAACAAACTTTCTATAAGCTGTTCTAGTTTGGAGAGAGTATTTTAAATTTGGCAACATTCAAAATCTTAAATTTTAAACTTTCACTCATTTCTTTTGTACGTTTTATTCTTTTCCCATAATGCATGCTTGATACTGTTTACGACAGTGCTCTGCCTATTTAGATTTGCTATTGAATTACACTTTGAATAATATTAAGTACTTCAGTACGTCTACAGGAAGGTTGACAACGGTAAATTTGTCATTTTAATATTCCATCTAAAAAATCTTAGATACAATAACACACTGTTGTTACAACAATGTCGCCCATGCGTGACTAAGCGGTACGTTTGGGGAACTTATAATGCTAAAAATAGGGTTTCGATACCCGCGGTGGCACAGCACATATAACCTATCTTATAGATTGGTGCCTAATAATAAATAAACTATTAATGAACGTGTTCTAATATATATATATATATTCATATAAACTTATTTCCAGTTTTGCTCCCGTAGTGGACAGAATGCAGAGATCCAATTGTGTAGTTTGCGCTAAAACAAACAAACATTTTACATTTGACTTAAGAATTAGGAAAATATTTATTTTGTTTTTTTTTGTTACTTAAATTGAAAACGAGATGAGGGACCTTTATTTGTTATCGTCACATTAGGTGAAGGGATAAAACTTCTTAGCAGGCTTTGTATTAAAAACGAAGCATAAAACTTATTTATACAGTTAAAACTAAAATGCTTGTTTTTCTTCTCTTTCAGGGTTAATCTGGAGCGAGATTAAGCAACTCTGGGAATCAGGGCTTATAGTGTACATTAGTGATATGTGGAATATAATTGACTTTATTACAAATGCGCTATACGTGGCAACCGTAGCTCTTCGAATAGTTGCCTATTTCCAGGTATAGAAAATGAGCAAAATCACTGTTTGCGTAATTAACAACTGAAAATATCTGATTAAGAATTTTCTTCTTGCTAAAATCTTTTACACATTTATGTTGTAAATAGAGTGAACTTTTCTTCTTAGTCTGAGTGTAAAATAGGCCCTTATATCTTGTGTATTTTTTTTGCAAATATGTAATTTCAATTTTCGACTGTTGAAAAGGCCTAGAAGTGAGAGTACTTATATATATTCTGAAATAAAGTTCAAAAGATAAAGTGGAAATAAAGCATGGAAATTCCGATTAAGTTTAAATATGTGCTTATTCTTAATTTATCATGTTAGAGACTAATACTTTCGAGAGAAACTTAGCATAATGTTGTTTGGAACACTACGTCATAATTAAATCAATATATTTAAAGATAATTTACATTTTGTACAATAAAATTGTAAGTAGCCTTAAAGACAAATGGATAGACAGAAATGCTCACACTTTAATAGATCGATAGGAAAGCAGATAGACAGATTAAAAGACAGAAAGCTACAGAATAGAATAAATAGATAAATATCTGAACTCTTTCTCTGTAATTTTATTTATCTTATTCTTCCCAGGTACAGAAAGAAATAATACTAAATACTGGCACTGCCTATCTCCCTCGGGAACGTTGGGATGCCTGGGACCCCATATTGATAGCTGAAGGGCTTTTCGCGGCAGCCAATATTTTTAGGTAAGTAAACGACAGGGCTGAGTAAACGTTTGACTCTTAAACCTATCGACAGCTTACTTACATATTCTTATATCTGCCAAGAGCATTGTGCAGGGCGATTGTAAATATTACATAACAATCTTTCTTCAGGTTCTAGTGCTACATCTCTGGAGAGTATCAAAGAGTTAGCTCTGAAGTCGGCATTATGGATTATACATTTGCTATTATTTGGTAAAGAAAGTTTTGTAATTCAAATATACAAATGGGGGCAACAGTTTCCTGGGTTAAGGTGACATAAAATACTAATCACATACTCATATATCTATATTTTTACATTAACTAAGACTAATTACAATTGTATCAGATGTAAACTTCACAAAAGATGAATACTTTTTATAAAAACAAAAATGAAGAAGAACTGCAGTCGTAGCAACTAAACGGTGATATTTCCTTTCTCCAGTTAGTTAAAAAAATGAAGGTGAAAAATCAGTGTTAAATAAAAGGTAAACAATTAACAGTTTCTAAAGAAAGAAACTCAAGTACTTTAGTCCAGAACTTCTCGAGTATATCCAAACATCCACCATCCGCAGACAGTTGTAAATATGGTGGTTAACCCTTTGAAAAGCGTGCTAAGTAATAATTCTGGTGTGTATATAATATAGCTAAAAATAATAAACAACACCCAAACACACCCCATAATTATATTACAATAGAACTGGTATTGAGCGAAATGATGATTCTTGGACAGCGACTTGTGGAAGACAAAAGATTGGTCTGAAATGTTATTTTTTTACATACCTTTAATTTCGAGAACAAATTAAGAGGACTGTCGAATAAACAAAATCTACAATAAACTTGATTTTTATAAATACCTCCAACATAGTTCGATGATGACATCAACTGGAGAAACTGGATATCTCAAACACTTATTGGTTGTTACTGCTGTAGTTCTTCTTTGCTGATTTAATAAAAAAAATAACTTTATTAATTCTAGGTCTCATACTATTTTATTAACCTCAGTTAATGCGTGAATGAACTAAAACGTCTTGAGTTCTTGTTGTTCAGTTTAAATGTTTGATGCATATTTTCGTTTGTGGACAAGTTTATTTAAAAACATTATTTCATATTGCTTCGGTGTGTTTTCTTCGGGTCTAACGTTCTGTTTATACAATTTAACCTTGTGCTAATGCACTAATGTTTTTTTTTTGTTTTTTGCATTTGTACAAGTTATGGAAAAGGAATGTGCCTTTCGAAATCTTAGACTTTGTTATTTGAGGGTTATCTGTAATATCAAAGCAAATGTGAAGTTGTTTTCCTCTTTCCTAGACATTTTTAGGTATTTACTTAGTTAATTATCTGTCAATGTTACAATATTTTGATCGACACCTAATCACTTCATGGTTATACTTATATTTCTTTCATCTAGTTCGCTGAAGCTGGTTTACATATTCTCGGTAAATCCTCACCTTGGCCCTCTCCAGATATGTCTGGGTAGGATGGTCATTGATATCCTCAAGTTCTTCTTCGTCTACACATTGGTATTATTTGCCTTTGCCTGTGGAATGAACCAGTTGCTGTGGTGTTATGCCGACTTGGAGAAGAAAACCTGCGAAGAAAGTCTGAGATCTCCTCATAATAAAACTGATCCAGTTGCTTGTTTAACATGGAGGAGATTCGCCAAGTAATTATCTTTATATCAGGTGACGCCAGGTTTACCTGGTGAAAAGTTCTCACCACAGATATTATACTCTGTATATACAACAACAAATGAGTTTTAAATTTAACGTAATAGAGTATTTCCTTTAATTATTTAAGTCCTGTTCTTTACTCTAGTTATGATAATGTCCAAAAATGGGAACGAATTATTGGATTCCCATTCAAATTTAAACTTAATACAACTGTAAAGCTTGTTAATCTTCTGGAAAAAAAGACTTTAAAATAATTTCTAGTGTTTGGCCAAATAGAAAATTTGGCAACAGCGTATTGCAACTAGAAGATTTCCTAGTAATCAGATCCACTGTAGGAAGTTATTCACTTTCAAAATATTCCCTAAAGATGTTACATAATATTGGAGATAAAGGCTTGTCCATAATCATTTCGTATTTTCATCTGTAATATTGTCCCATGCATATGAATAAACCATCTTCAACACATGCTTCCATTAGGGAGATAGAAGTATGGAAGGTACATGAAGCAAAATTTTAAGTTCAGGTAATTTTCTTTTTAAGAAGCCTATTTTTTCATCGATTGATACGTTGTAAATAAAGAATCAGTGTCAAAACTGACCATTTTACTTTCATTTATGCTAGAGTTTTTATTTTATTGCCAGAATTTATACTGTTTAAAATATGTGACGATGAGAACTTTCTTTGAAGTGTAGACAGGTGTTGTGCTAGTCATTTAAAATAGCGGATAATTAACTGATCCTACATCTATATCATTAAATGAGGAAATTGTGTGCGTGCATGGGAAGCTCTTCAAACTTCACTGAACTATGCAAAAATGCGATTATGAGTATGGAAGTACGGACGACGTCAACAAATACGTAAGGGAGGGGGTAAGAGGTGTAGATAGTACTATGTGTTGCAATGGAAAAGGTATTTGGGGAATGGATCTGTCATCTCTCACAGCCCCATCTTGGACAGCAGTGTTGATATGTTAAGGTTTTGTGCGTGAAAATTTTCGTTTGTTTATAAACACTTAGAGTACCATCACTCTTTTGAGTTCTAATGCTTCTCCCCTATACCCAGGTTTTGAAAGCCTCTTTAGATCTGGTGTTTCATACTAGATAAGTCGATCGGTTTTGTCATTTTTGATCAGACCATTCGGCGTGAAATATCTTTTGCACTAGAGGTATTTGGTAGGTATCACATTTTGTGGAACAGGTATTGAGATGTCCCACACGGTCATCAGTTTCGTTCAAAATTTTACTTACTCAACTTAATACATGAGTAGTCTATGCAAATCACTTAATTGTTTTAATTACTTTAAACACACTGCACTGCCTTTGAATTTTATAAACTTTGTGCATTCAAACAGAAAATACCACAACCAAAAAAAAGTTTCGTACGCGTAGCACGAGTTTTCCCTCTAGTTGGAAATAATAAGCTTAAGAGGGCAGCGACTTTTATGCGTACAACCCGAATGTTTACGGCAGAAGAGAATTGATCGATTTAAAGATTTTTAAGAGATCCGGATAACTAGCTAGAATATATCGAAGTGGTTTGTTAAAATCATTACTTTTTTGGATAGTGGATTAGCCCAGAATTTCTCGTAATCGTTTCAATCCTGTAGTAAATCCTTAAGTTTTGTTTCGTTAGTACATTTATCCAAGATGACAATTTGTTTTACTTTGTCAAGTTTAGTTACTACAATATCTTTATTCCTTTTTAATTTTCTATTGTAAAATATTGCGATGGCTAAACAACCAGTTCAAAGGCTCAAATCGTTATTATTGTATTTAACCGGTTAACAGCATCCGTTATCAAGTATAGGTCAAGGTCAACGTTTTCTAAAGACCATAGCTCCCCTGTGGCACAGCAGTATGTCTGCGGAGTTACAACGCTAGAAACCGGGTTTCGATATCAGTGGTGGGCAGAACACAGATAGCCCATTGTGTAGTTTTGTGCTTAATTTCAAACAAAATCGAAAGACCATAACCTAATGTTACCTCTTCCTAATCTGTAAGACGATAGATTTACAATATTTTTATCTGTTTGAAAAATGTATATCATTTACGTATTTTAAACTATTTTTCAAGCTTATTTTGTACTCTTACGTTTTCGTACTTTAATTCCCTTGCAATGAAAGTCTTTGCTATCTTAAATAATTGTTTTCTTTGGGCTACAGAAATACGTGCTTCAAATTTGCGTGCAACTTTTCGGCAATTAGTTCATTAGTTTCTGATTTTACCGCTGGGTTAAAATGAACTTTTCCAAACTACCTCATACCCTTGATCCTTTGAATATAAATTTGGTAATAAGGACGATTCTATTTTTCAAGCAGTTTATCAGAAATTATGGATGTAACTTTTTTTGTTTTCAGTGTAGAGCAGTAATTCATATGATCTGTAAAGAAGGCAATTTAACGATGGCTCTTGAAAATACTTTAAATATATTTTTTGTTCCTTCGTGAATACCATTCTAATAGTAGCTAAATACACAATACTTAGTAAGTTAATCTAATCAACGTTAATATAAACTATTACAGAACAACTATTTGAAAGTTCTTTAAAAATCCCAACACCATTCAAAATTTCTTATCCTTGAATAAGGTTGCACCTCAGATTAAAAGAGGGTACCTATATAACTCCGTACAAATCGTGCGAAAAAGGTTTTGTTGGTGAAACACGAATCGCGGGATATAAAAGGTGTTATGAAGTTAAGTGTAAGAAACATATATTGCAGTTGAGTGTTGGTCAGTCTCTAAAATATTAGAAGAATACTGCACTCTAAGACATTAGCTAGTGATTGAAGTGTGCGACAGCCTTTCTTATTCAGCTGGTGTAGAGATTACAAGGCTCCTTATGATTAAGAAACATTATAATACGATATACGGTGTGCAAGGTCAGAAAGAAAGGGACCTTTTCAGCGTGGGTTTGAGAAAATAATATAAAGGACAGAAGTTCAACGAAAGAAAAGAAGAAGACTCTGATATGTGAGAAAGAGCAAATAAGTCAAAAGAGCCCAAGGAAAAAGTTATATGTTGTCAGTAAAAAAAACAATTTCTAAATCTATGTGTTATCGATTATAGTAATAAACATCAATTTGTTTACGTTGATATGACTCAATTCCTAATAGAAAAAAAGTATAACCTAAATAAAGTTCATGGACATAAAAGGGAAAGCGTAGTGCATGTATAGTAAGTACAAGGTAGTGTTAAATCGATTATAATAAAATAATGTCAAAACTATTCAAACAAATAATGCCATTCATTCTACACGCGAGGAATCTTGATTATAGGATCCACTAAAAATCTACCAAAATAATGCATAAAACTATAAATGATGTCAAAACAAGACTTGTGGAAAGTTCGTTAATCAGTACAAACTTCTAAAAATCGCTGGTTTAGTTTCAGCTGTGAGAGTGTTTGATATTTTACAAACAAACCAAGACTTCTGTGTTTGTTTGTTTGTAATTAAGCAAAAAGCTACACAATGGGCCATCTGTGCTCTGCCCACCACTCTTACAACCCACGGGTTGTAAGTCCGCGGACATACCGTTGTGCCACGGGGGAGGGGGGGGGGAGATTTCTGTGAAACGTGAAAATGTTTCGTATTGGTGTAGGTACTGTTTTTACTTTAAAGTTTTTTTTATGTACCGTGTAAGAATTGTGCAAAAAAAAGGCACAGGTCAAAGTTACAAAATGTCTTTCCTTTTTAATCCTATCGATAGTATCTATTAACATTTTAATATAATTTAAATGAGCATTCCCAATTAATGTAGTTTATATTTAAGTGATGGCGTTGTCTATTGTATTTTATAAGGCTCAATATTTTATCCAAGAATATAAAATTTATTTGCAAAATATATGTCAGTATTTGTTTGCCATGTGGTTAGGGCGCTTGAGGTTCGATCCCCGTCACACCAAACATGCTCGCCCCTTTCAGCTGTGGGGGCGTTATGTTGTGACGGTCAGTCCCACTATTCGTTGGTAAAAGAGTAGCCCAAGAGTTGGCGGTGGGTGGTGATGACTAGCTACCTTCCCTCTATTCATTCACTGCTAAATTAGGGACGGTTAGCGCAGATAGCCCTCGTGTAGCTTTGCGCGAAATTCAAACCAAGCCATCAAAAAGCATAAACAAACCGCACAAATATATTTTGTGTAGCATTTAGCAAAATTATATCCAAAACAGTTTTGTTTGGAAGACTTCTTCCAAGAATAATTCATTATCATTAAAAATATGATTCAGCTCATCGTCAAATAACAATTCCATGTTTAAGTATAAAAGTTTATTCGCAAACAAGAGTTTGTTTGTTTGTAATTAAGCACAAAGCTACACAACGGGCATCAAAACCCGGATTCTAGCGTTGTAAGTCCGCAAACATACCGCTGTGCCACTGGGGGTGCAAACAAGAGAATTAGAGAAAGTTCAGTTATTCGAAATGATAACTGTTTCTTATTTCTTCGGGCCCGGCATGGCCAGGTGGTTAGGGCGCTCGACTCGCAAACTGCGCGTCGCGGGTTTGAATCCTCGTCACACCAAACATGCTCTCCCTTTCAGCCGTGGGGGGGTGCCGTTATAATGTGACAGTCAATCCCACTATTCGTTGGTAAAAGAGTAGCCGAAGAGTTGTCGGTGGGTAGTGATGACTAACTACCTTCCCTCTAGTCTTACACTGCCAAATGATGGACGGCTAGAGCAGATAGCTCTCAGGTAGTTCTGCGCGAAATTCATAAGAAACAAACCATAACAAGCTTATTTCTTTATCATGTCATTTCTTACTATTTTTCATAAATACATTGTTTTTTTAACTAAAGATGTACTTTTGTATACCATTAGCAATGCAATATTTTTTGTTTTAAGTCCTTTTCTCGGGCTTGTTTTCGTTCACTCTAAATATATACCAAATGTCACATTTCTGAATTCTGTAAATCTCAACTAAGGAATATCATCACTTCTTAGAGTTGTATAGGCTTGAGAGAATACTCTGTTTCGTAAATCTGTTTGTTTATTTCAAAGATTCGTGCAAGGCTACACAAAAGTTATATCTGCATGCTGCTCCTAATTTGGAACTGATAAGACAAAGTGTAGACAATTCATCAACAGTACATACTGCCAACTGTTGAGTTACTATTGCCTGATCGAATAGTCGAATTTGACCTTCGTTCTTATACCTTATACGCAGCCACGGCCGTAACTAGCTAGCTATGAGGTCACCGATGTCCGGACCTTGGTTAAAATTTGAAATTCAATGTATAGTACTATTTAATTTTACATCCATATGGAAAACGTATGCAATATGTAAAGCTCACCCAATCTTGCTAGGGCCATGCACAGCTCGCAGTGCGTAGTGTGTTTTAAAGGTAACGGGTCACGAACCATGAATCCTCGATTAACAGTCTGAGCAGGCTAACCACTAAGTTTCGACCGGCCTTTCTCTCGTCAATAACCCTAGGTTAAGCTCAGAAAGACGACAATCAGGCTCTATTTTAGGATGTATATATATATACAACATTTAACACGAAATAGAAGATTTATTAATAATAATTCTTCAATAAACTATATATGTTATTTATTACGTTAATTGAACGTATTCTCAACAAAACTGTGGTCATCAACGAGATAAAAATTTCATCATTTGTTGGTTTGATAGTTTTAACTGTAATTACGCTTATTCTATTTTGCATAACAAAAATTATAATTTTGCATTAAAAACATATTAAGGATTTTTTTTCATTATAATAAACATATTAAGAAATGACTATCAAACCAGATAATACACATACACAATAATATCTGGGAAACTAATCGAATTTTATTTATTAAACTAGAATGTCTGACGTTGTGATTTTCTATTCCTCAATTTAATTGTGATGCCCTTTGTCCCTGACAGCGTGTTCGAGTCGTCACAGACGTTGTTTTGGGCAAGTTTCGGTTTGATAGATCTGGACAGCTTTGAACTGACCGGGATTAAAAGCTACACCCGTTTCTGGGGAATGTTAATGTTCGGCACCTACTCCGTAATCAACATCGTCGTCCTCTTGAATCTTCTCATCGCCATGATGAACCACTCGTATCAGATGATCTCGGTAAGTTACAGCCATAACACAATCTAAAAATTGATCGTAATTGATGGCATATGATAATATTCTCATGCTGATGTTGTTTACCCCGAAACATAACATGTTTATAGCGCTAGAGACAACTCGCACATTATCATATTACAGGTAGTGGAAGGTTTGCATGTGACGTAACGAGTACAGTAATTTCATATGACGCGCGATCTTTGATATCAGTCTATTATCGGTTGATAGGAGGAAATATTATAATATAGATGCAGGAGTTGACATCTGATATTTAAACATACTAATAACAGTCACGTGTAAGATTATATAGATAGCGTATTAGAATTTTAAGCTTCCATAATCCACCTATTTTTTATTCCGTGCTCTGTATTATTTACGATAGATATTCGCTTTGTCAACATATGGTATTCTTCTCCGTCATAATACATTTTTACGTTGCTTACGAATGACATTTTATCAGCTTTGTTGGTTGTTGTTCCGTTCGTACAGTCTAGCCGGGGAGATAAGGCGTAGTATTAAACAAACAGGATTTCTCTGCACATTGAGATTTTAGCGCCATTTATATGCTACGAAATTTCCGAATGACCTTGAAAATATATCGTGTTCCACCATATTCCACATTAATAGGTTTGCCAGTTGATGTTGTCTTTTTCACATTCATGATGTGAATCACGCTTGGAAACTTCTAACCATGGCCTTTCTGAAATTACAAACAACTCAGTATGCTCTATAGTACGATAAACCAAATCATATTTTCTATATTTGATATTTTTTCCACTCTGGACAAAAAAAAACAATAGTTTTCCGGGAGTAAAAATATTAATATTTTACGCCGAATATTGTTTGTTTGGTGTTTGTCGTTGATTGTTCTTTTTTTTTTGGAACTTACTTCGGTCCAGATTATTAAAAGCCACTGCCTACAAATGTCATAAACTTTGGAAGGTTACATTCGAACTCTTTTTGGGTGTAAAAATTGGATAAAAAATAACAAATCTTACGTTCTTGTAATTGTAAATTTTAAAGAATACTTTAAATAATTAGCATGTTAAAATACAATATTCATATATTTATATTAAAATTTTCGTTACGCAGTGGTATAAATATAAGTTCCATAAACTTATGAGTGAAAGCAAAGAGAAATGTGTAATAATATATCATCCAGTGCGGACGAGCCTTCTGCCTAATACCACGGCTCATTAGGCTGGCTGTGATACGTAAGACAAGCGTAATAGTGATCTAGGTGCTATTTGTGTCATCAACTGCATGAACAGCAGTTGTAATCCTATGAAATCGATTAAATGAGTGAAGTGTAATTATTATTATTATTATTTAAGGAACTTACACTTCAGAATTAGAGTAAGGATTAATGATAGGGTACAATCCTAAAATAATTACATGTCATTCCCACATTCATGTGACTGGCAGTGCACATTGAACTTTTGCAAATAATGTTTTATTTTTTTCTGAACAGAGAATATAACAAGAATAATTACGATATTTACGTGATATTTACGTAAGAGCTAAGGTTTAATTTTGATTTTAGGAAAATGTAATGCAGCTTTAAGACTTACGTCACTACTTATTTAATAAAAGCAGCGACATCTGCACAACTCCGCCTAATTTTTAAATATATGTTGATAAAGCAGAGTTAGCCGTCTGTCTTGGTGGTGTCTTGACGTCACGAGTTATTGTAAGAAACTTGTTGAACCAATCTCGATTAAATTTGATTGAGTTTAAATGAACAAGTTATCAGCCGAACAGTTCTAGTTTGGCAGCCATTTTAGCATTTACTACGTGAAGCCGACGCCAAACGAAAAATACTTTTAATACCAAGCGTAGCACGGATACCTAATTATACGAACGGTTCGTTTGCTACACCTCAAGATATTGGAAGGGGATTGCCTACGTCACCATTAGATTGTACCCTCACTAATTATAAAGTGATTTTAACTGAATTCACATAAACACGTATATATATAATCTATGAATAAGATTTGCTATAAAAAAAACTATCTTTTAGTAGAGGAATTATGAGATTTTCTTATATAATATTTAATCTTAACGATTTGAAAATCTTCAAAATAATCAGCTTAGGACCTTATCTTTGAATGGTAAAATCACAAGTTATGAAATATGCGTTTAATGCATTGTGTAGTGGATATTGATAACTTCTACTTGACTCACCTGGTTATTTAATTTATATCTGTCTTACTATTTCATCAATAATGGTCATGTACCTTTGCGACAAATACAGTCATTTAGTGTTCTTTTCTAGTAAGGAGTATCTGTCAACATATAAGAACGTTACTGTTCCCAAATAAAACTACCTAAGTTTTAGATTGTACTAAAACATACATGTGTACGTATGTATTTACATATAAATTTATAATGCGTAAGATTGTACTGAAATATAATTCATAAGGCCTACGGTGTGTGGTAGTTTTAGAACTAAACAAAGCAAGACACAGTTTAAATAATAACAGCTGTAAAGTTCTATAAACAATTAGATTCTACAGTCAGTCATTGCATGCTTTTGGTAAACTACCTATCGTTGTGTAAGTACTTTAGATTGCTGAAGGTTTTATAAACGTACGTGATAATTGGCAAAACAACTCTCTGAAAATCTAAATGATAAAACACTTACACGTATACACATTTCACATATCAACTCTCAACTGATTTGTGACGATTCAAAAAATATAGAGTTTAGTGATATATATACATCCCTCTAATTCATCTACGCTGTGAATAAAGAACTTAAAACGAATTACTTTATTATATTACTTATTTGCTATAAAAATGAAAAAAACACATACATTTTAATGCATTATTTTGTTAACTTATAATGTTTCTGTATCTATACATAAATGCTTGTTATATAAATAAAGGAACAGGCAGATACAGAATGGAAATTTGCACGAAGTAAGTTATGGATGAGTTACTTTGAAGATGGCGCCACCGTTCCACCTCCTTTTAATATTATCCCTACTCCCAAATCTTTTTACTACCTTCTTCGCTGGATTGTCAGAAAGTTTTGTGGATACTCAAGATCAGAAAAGAAAGAAAATATTAAAACATATCGTGTAAGTGTATTTCTTCTTTTTTATCAAGTGGAATACAAGAATTCTTACGTTTGAAGTTATTTTCAAATATTTATAAACATTTAAGATTGCTTGTATAACTTATTTATTTATATTTTGTGAGGATCATATATTTGCAATAAAAAAAAATCATGAACTAAAGGCTTTTGATTTCATGTCAGAGTTTTTAACACCTATCACGGTTATCGTTAATTATATACGTTTTATTAATTTCAAAAAAATCATAACTTTATTGAACAGATGTATTGTCCATGGAAAATCCTTCGTTAATGACGGTTTTATTTCACAGCTCTACAAGATATCAGTACATACAAATATTTAGGAGTTTGAAGTTTTTATGGACTTCTCCTTTGGTTGTCATGAATGATACCGTCCTCTAGTAGCTACATAAGCAATATAAAATATATCGTTTAGGAGTCGCTCCCGTTTAATATACTCTCTCAACTACATAACCAATATAAAATATAACGTTTAGGAGTCGCTTCCATTTAATATACTCTCTCAACTACATAACCAATATAAAATATAACGTTTAGGAGTCGCTTCCATTTAACATACTCACTCAACTACATAACCAATATAAAATATAACGGGACTCCTAAAGCTTCTATTTAATATACTCTCTCAACGTTATATTTTATATTGGTTATGTAGGACTCCTAAACGTTATACTTTATATTGGTTATGTAGTTGAGAGAGTATGTTAAATGAAAGCGACTCCTAAACGTTATATTTTATATTGGTTATGTAGTTGAGAAAGTATGTTAAATGGAAGCGACTCCTAAACGTTATACTTTATATTGGTTATGTAGTTGAGAGAGTATGCTAAATGAAAGCGACTCCTAAACGTTATGTTTTATATTGGTTATGTAGTTGAGAGAGTATGTTAAATGGAAGCGACTTCTAAGGCTTCTATTTAATATACTCTCTCAACTACATAACCAATATAAAATATAACGTTTAGGAGTCGCTTCTATTTAATATATTCTCTCCAAATATAACGTTTAGGAGTCGCTTCTATTTAACATACTCTCTCAACTACATAACCAATATAAAATATAACGTTTTTGAGTAGCTTACGTTTAATAAATTATTTAAGTTACCAAATCTACAAAAAATATAGCTTTTTTTAATGATTTTTGTTCACTATATTACATCAACTACACAACAAATATAAAAAACAATGTTTCTGTGTAGATTACATTTAAAGCACTATTTCAGTTATTTAACTTGAAATTGGCGAGCGTAGCTTTATATTTTGGGAAAACCTATTTTGTTACATGAGAATCACATTCAATACTGAAAATATGTGTGAACAAAAGTTCTATAAAGACAGATTTTAGATGTGGTGGCAATGTCATTACTTCGTCAGTGGTACAGAATAATCAATAATTATAAACAATGTAAATAAACATTAACAAAATTAAACCTCACACCTACTCAACTGAAACATCAAACAGTTGTTTGAAAAAATTAATGATACCTGTTACCATAACAGCTACCTTAGTAGAGGCTTAAAAATATACGTACAAGTCGGATTTTACCAGGGATGTTGCAATATAAGTTAAAGCTAGTTTTTTGCATTTGAACTTCTCTAATACGAGAAAATTTTATGTGGTGAAAGTTCACAAATCCATCTATCGTGTTAATTGAACTGATAAGTTATATTTTTACTATCTTTTGTTGTGTTTGATGCAAATAACCATTGGTAAAAAAACAACTTTTGTGTTTGATGCAAATAACCATTGGTAAAAAAACAACTTTTGTGTTTGTTGCAAATAACCATTGGTAAAAAAACAACTTTCGTCTCGGAATGGCGTCATTCAGGTTTTACCTTAAGCTTGGCTGAAAATATTGTTAACTTAAGAAAAATAGAACTGAAAGAAACTTAGAGTGTTATTTAAATAAGTACTAATTCTTTCATTGTTAAACTAAATCGTTGGTATTATTGAGAAATACAAAACAAAATCTAAATTTTAGCGAAGTTTTTTTCAATTATTGCTAAGAAAACTGTGTAATTTTTTTTTCTATCGTATAGTCTTGTTTTCTTTATTCTTCTGTTCAGGATTCTAATTGTTTAGAGGATTACCAACACTTGTCCGTAACCATTGTAACTTTTATGTTTGTTTCAGAAAAAAATTTAAACAAATTAAGCTACTTCAACAGTATTTATAACCTTATATTTTATGTTGTTTTTTAGAAATAGTTTTAAATAAGTTAAGCTGTTTCAACAGTATTTATAACCTTATATTTTATGTTTGTTTTAGAAATAGTTTTAAATAACTCAAGCTGTTTCAACAGTATTTATAACCTTATATTTTATGTTTGTTTTAGAAATAGTTTAAATAAATTAAGCTGTTTCAACAGTATTTATAACCTTATATTTTATGTTGTTTTTCTTCAGAAACAAGCCAAAAAAGCAAGCGAGAGGAACCTCCGTTATCAAGTAAGTATCTTAATTTTTACTACATGTATATTTTCCAGAAAACAACTGGACATAAAAAAACAAGAACAAAATATAAATATAATAATAAATGTCTATCAATTTCAGGTTTACCAATTCTAATTGCAACAGTTCTAATCATAAGTATACTGTTGTTAACTTTTCTGAAATAAAGCAACAATTGTATTAAATTATCAAGTATGAATAATTATTTTATTTTTAGTATGAACTTGCAACAATTATAACTGATATTATGTAATAAATACATTCTAATCGTATCGAGTTTATGTTCAGTATCTTATTGTACAGTTTTTAACTTGCTTATGGGAGTATTAAAGAAGGGACATTTATTATTACAGATTAAACCTGATCTATGAATAAAGTGTAAACAGTTTGATCATTACCATACTTTCAGGGACATTTTAACCTTTTCTTAGAGTTGACTTGAATGACACAAATTTCCGTGCTAACAGAAATACGACGAACATTTGCAAACGTAGTATTTGGACTGATCTTTCAGTATGCAAAAGACCGGGTGTGACGTATTATAGCTAGTGTGTCGGAATGTGGAACTTCAGGTCTAGAGTTCGAGCCGTGATATGCTGCTCAACACACTCTGCACTTTCAACAGCGGACATGCTCTAAAAGGAACAGTCAATCCTACTATTCGATTAAGAGTAGTCGCCTAGGCGGCAGGTGTTACTGACTATCTGCCCTATTCTTTTTACATCATATCTAAACTAGGGATGGCTTTGATCTTGGAGTTTCGACTTGGCCATGTAGCTTATATACCACATAAAGTACCTTTTGGTTTTAGAATACCAAATACCAAAGTAACACGGGCATAAATGAATCTAGTTTTAATAACTACTGATGCCACTAGGGAACAGAAAGATGACATTATTTTAGACTTATAGTTATTCATTCATAAACTACAGACCATACATAATTACAAAATTAGAAAGGACTCTTGTAAAAAATGTTTGTTTGCTACAAAGAAATGAGAGAGGTCAGAATAATCTAAGAACGTGGAACAGTTTATTCTACATGTAAAATAGTTTATATAATTATGTACTTAAATAACGAAGGAAAGAACACAGATAATATATACGAACTTTGAAGAAGACGGACACAGTTCAAAAATTAGATTTATCTTTGTTTGTTTTGTTGTTAGGCACAAAGATACACAATGGGTTGTTTATCTGTATTCTTCCTACCGCGGGTATCGAAACCAGGATTTTAGCGTTATAAGCTCGCATACTTACCGAAAATGGACACAAATCCATTATCACTCTTAATACGGGTTGATTTACTTTACACTTTTATGTATGTACACATAAGATTAGTAAATATGTTTGTTACACAATGTGCTATCTGTTCTCTGCTCACCACGGGTATCGAAAGCCTGTTTCTAGCGTTGTAAGTCCGCAGACATTCCGCTGTGCCACTGGGTGGGTTAGTAATTATACATAATTATATTTCGGTATAGAAATCAATGAAAAAATAAATTTGGTTGCAACAAATAGTGTCATGTTTATGGACGAAAATACTTAAGTCCTACAACCGAAGATCCGTTACTTATACAAATTATATAGTTATTTTATCTTTACGTCTACCGTAAAAGTTATACACATATTATTTAAAACAAAAGAGAGTCACAAGGAAACTGTTCTATCGTAAGAAAATAAAGAAATGTAAAATCGGCAAACCGTCCTGTGAAGTTAGGAATTTTGATAATCAAGCGAAAACTGAAACCAAGATGGATTCGAACCCACAACTCTACTTAACGTGTACACGCTTTATTTACTTAAGACACTTTTTCTTTCTTTATTAATCCACCCTCATAGAGGGGGGGTATAAACAAACATACATCAGTTATTCGACATAACTCATGACCATGTCGATACAAATTTGGATAGTAATAAAAAAAAATAGTTAAGGTTGATCACTTAAATTGCCCCCAGTGGCACAGCGGTATGTCTGCGGACTTACAACGCTAGAATCCGGGTTTCGATACCTGTGGTGGGCCGAGCACGGATAGCCCATTGTGTAGCTTTGTGCTTAATTACACACACACAAACAAATTACTTAAATTAAATACACAGAAAAATAATAGCTACAAACAAACAAAACAATGTTGCTCAAATTAATAAAAATAAAATGATGCTTCTTTTCGAATGACGCAAGTCTCACATTCTTAAAATGACTGCGATAAAATGATACTTCCTTTCGAATGACGCAAGTCTCACTTTCTTAAAATGACTGCGCTTGGACTTAAAAATGGCAAGACTTGTTCCACATTCTTGCAACCGTTTTTGAAAAAGCTTAATTTTCCTCTGGCATAATTTATGTTTGTGTTACTCGTCTGAAATAATTTTTACTCCATAAATTATATTTCTAATAAATGTTTTCTGCCTCTTAACTTAATCTTCGCTCTCATTCTCTTTCCGTTTTGTTTGCTTTCTTCTGATAGACCATCATGAGAAACCTGGTTCGCCGGTATATAACCAAAGAACAAAGACGCGCTGATCATCAAGGCGTGACCGAAGACGATGTGAACGAGATTAAACAGGATATCTCATCTTTTCGCTATGAACTAATGGAAATCTTAAAAAACAGTGGATTTAATACTTCCGTAGCAAAAGGACAATCACAAGGCACGTTACTTCAAGAATTATTGAAATATTTTTAGAATAATTACTTTTCTGACCTAGAATTTCTGTTGACTAGAAAATGCTTTTTCATTTAAAAAACTATCATTTTTAAAAATATATAGGGGGGGTTAATTTATTTAAAATTTAATACTTGTATATGTCGAGGAAATGGTGCATTCAACGTATTAAGAACACTTCACAAGGATAAATTGACAAGAATCTGGCAATAATTTCAGCTTTTAGATAAAACTATATTTGTCCCGTATATTACAGGATATCACCGATGATCGGATGTTTTCCTAGGGTTTCATGCTTTTAATTTTTATGGTTAAGTAACCAAAGTAAAACTAGTGTAAAATCGCGACTGCGGTGCAAAATATTCTAATATATTGTAATAATCCAAAGGAACTAATACTTCACTTTGTTGTTTCGTTCAATTTTAATGTGACTTGTTGTGCAAATGAATGTACAACATTTGAAATGTTTTAGGTTTGCAATAAACATTTAATTTTTACAATTTCAATAAGTCTTTTAGTTGTTAATATATCGTAAAACAAACTAGCGATAGCCGTGTAATATATCAATATATCTTCTCAACTACACTATAAGTAATTGCTAAATGAACTGTCGACCATTGGCTTCATCGGAAAATCAACTTACACAATAATTTGAACCAAATCTTATTTTGAAATCCCCCAGTGGTGTAAAACTTGTGTTTGTTGCCATATTTCATTCCCATTTATGATAATGGCGTGTTATTTCGAGGGGAGTCGTACTTTTTTCAGCGAGTTTCGGGAAACAATCGTAGTTCTTTTGAGTAATGCACGACTGCCACCTCATTCATCAAAGCCACGAATAAGCCAACTAGAAAACTAAATATAGCATGTGTTCTTAATTCATAGGAAGTGTTTTGGAAAGTCGATTTTACAATTTTAGGTATGCATGATTAATCATTGTCATATAAGCATAGATACGTTTCAGTTCATATTTATAAAAAAGTTGTATGTGTGTTCAGTAGCTATAATTTAAGTTGCAATGAACATTAACATAAAGTGATTATAACTAAAAAGCAAGATAAATGTTTTGACCGCTTTCATGTTTTTCAGGAGCTGGTGGCAAAAAAGGCAGATTAAAGGAGCGTCGTTTGATGAAAGGGTTCAATATTGGTCTTGTCGAGGAATCAGAAAAAGCAGATTTAAATACAGATAACTCTAAAAAATCAGCAACTAATAGGTTTGTCAGAGCTGCTCGTCTGGCCTGTGAAAATAAAAATACGAAAAGACGAAAATGGGACAACTTAGTGGAAGCAACAAAGAACGCACGCGCTGCCATTTCTAAAGGTCGAAGTGAGGAGTCCAAAAGCGAGCATGAATCATCAGAAAACCAAAGTCAATATGAGGTTTCCAGTGAATCTAATGCGAGTGTTGTTTTATCCCCTGACGCCTGTAGTGCAGAAGAAGTTAAAAAAGATCAGCTTGATACAGTCATAGAACTCCCTGAGACCAAGTTGGCCCGATTTGGTCGGAAATTTGGAAGTTTGACCTTTACCCGTTCCAAGTTAAGATTTACCTTTCAAGATCAGAATAAATACTCAGCTGAAAGGGTTCAGTCGGTTCCTAAATTGACAGAAATTCCAGAGAAATGGAAAATGGAGAATACAGTCAGCGATAGTGGACCCAGTTTGTTACAGTCATCTTTAAGAGCCTGTTCACTGAATTCTCTATCCGACCACTCTCCCCCACCCTCTGTGACTTCTATTCCCTTAAAAGTTGTTGTATCCGAAAGAAGATCCCCTTCAGTTCCAAGTTGTGTTGAATCGAATATTTCCATGTCATTTACTGGATCTTGTGATTTTTCTCAAAATCAAAACATGATTTATAAGGTCCAAGGGGAACAACCTAATAAACTGAAAAGGCCATTTGTTATCCCTATAGGGGAGGCAAGTCACGCAGCTAGTTCCTTTTATGGCAGTTCAGACAGTAATATTCCTGGAGTTATCAAAAACAGTTCTTCGTGTGAACAAACACTGATAAGATCCGACAAAACTGCAAACGGACCTATTAAGATGATGTCTCGTGTGCACGGAATCGAACCAGCAGACAAACAGATGTCCATCGGTTGGATTTGATAACTGGTTATAGATTGTATTGCTGTTGCTTGAATAATTTTGTACAGAGCTGGTGATCCAGTTGTGCCAAAAAAAAGAAAAAGGATAAACAAGACTCGTTGTAAGCTTTCCTGTTGGCTCAACAAAAGTATCTTTACTGGCCTTAACAGCATTTGTGTTTGTATATAGCAATGTAAATGTTTCATATGTTTGCTTATCGTAATTGTGAAACAAGTATCTTCTTTTGACTAGAATGTTTTACCAGAATAATCCTTTACAAAACGAGCGCAACATTTGCAGATTTTACTGCGAGGTCAAAAATCGTCCCCATTACTTCCCGAAAAAAATAACATTGAAACATTAAATTTCAAAGTTTCTTTTGTGTGTGTGTGTGTATTTTCCTAAAACAATAATGTTTTTGTTTTGTTTTGCAATTTTCTTAAAGAAACCGAATAGGATAGCATCCGATTTCGAAGTTTATAGTTGTCTGTTTCGTCTGTGGAATTATCTCGGTATGAAGTACGTAAATATGTCTGTGCCATTCAAACAAATAACGCTACGATACACAATAAATATTTCATGATATCGCAGAATTTAGCATGTCGTTTGTCAGTTTGCTGTAGTTCTAGAATGTAGTCGTAAATATAAACGTAACATATAATTAATACTTGAAACCAAAGCAATGCCAGTCTCCACACTGTTTTCCTAAGGAACGTCCACGTATCATTTACACCTGAAAAAATCCACCAAGCCCTCGAAACCACAACCAATTCAAAGATCCACGCAGTACACCGAATTACATCAAAGAT